TCTTGCCGATCTACCAATTAAGCCAATGCCCGTTAAAAGCTTTCCGCCCAATTCGACAGAAATTCTGACCGGTTGACTATATCCATCTCGTGCTATGGCTCTGGCTGGCTGCCGACCGGATGCTCAGTTGCATTCCTCGTGTTCTGTATGGTCCTGCCGCCAAAGCGGAGATCATCTGGTGACGAGGGCCGAGGCGCGTTACGGCGTCAGGCCGCGCTCGGCCCCTCCACTGGGCGGTGGTGAGGCGGCCCACTGAGGCGGCCATTACCGCGGGCACGCCGCCGCCGCCGCCGGCCCGCCGGCACCAGATGGTGTCCGTCACCGGCGGCGGCGACGGCGGCGGCGGCGGCGGCGGCGGGCACGCAGCGACGGCCCGCGAGCCGCCGCCGCGCTGGCGACGGCTCCGTCTCGCCTCCCGCCTGTCACACATACCGGTCCGTCCGAAGTGGGCACGGCATCTCATGTAGCATGACTCTTCCCTGTGACCGATCTGGTGCGGCTCAGGGTAACATTACGGGTCGTCTATGGACTTCAGGGGTCTGGCGACCTGTTTGTCATAGGTTCATCGAATAAATTGAGAGCACGGCCGTCGACTGAGGTCAACAGCGTATCTGCAGTCAGGGAGTGGGGGGACGGATTTCGGGCTTGTACACGAATGATGAATTCCACTCAAGTGGAGCTAGACCACGATTGGTATCAAATCAAATTGGTTTCGAGCGCGATTCTGAGCAGTTCGATGCCGTTTGAGTCGGCTCCACTGCTGATTTCGACACCTCTGTCTCGCTTGTGGGATCGGTTCCAACTCAGTGTATTCCAGGAAGGAGGCCCAATAATAAAACAAAATGTACAGGCTACAAAGCAATAGTTACAGGATATCTACGGAGTTAAAATGAGTGCGGTGCTGCACCGCTTGCTCCACGTCAGCACTGATTACATCAGTCCGATTATTAGGCGAAATGATAAGGTATAATGATTGTAAGGTACAATAGCATAATAAAGCAGAACTATTCGCTATAAGCTGATAGCCAAAGGCATTCCCAAATGTTCTTCATCACACAATAATGATATTCTGTAGACAACATACGATTATGCCAGCCAGTATGGCTTCTTCTAAACGAATATGCGGATGCGCGGCATACATGCATATCTGGTATATCTATATATAATATATATATAATATATATATATATATCATTAATATAAATTATGTATGTATATTTCCGATTAAGTATCTTTACTTGATACTTGTTCAAATTCCACAAAACTTTGTAGGACGCATTTACAAACTTTCCGCTGACAGTGCGTTGTTTCTGTGGCTCGCTAGTACCAATGTTGAGGTGATTCTCGCACCTTGTCTTACAGAGCAGAAATGTACATGGTTGTAATGGTTTGTAAATGTACACAGTTCCGCCCGTTGTAATTAATAGCGTATCCGAAACCGTAAAAACAGATGATTATCTCCCTTGCCATTTTTATCACCTACAGTTTCTGTCTGCCCATAGTAAGTGATGCGCTACATTTGGTCCCGTGGTGCCCAGAGCATCATTAAGGTTGTGCCCTACTTCTCCTCGGCGGCGATAGTGTGCTCTGTCATGTGTTTCAGTGCGCCCATAATAAGTGATATGATCGAGTGATTGATCCATTCTTGGAGTCGCGGCAATGCTTTGCGAGGACGCATATTGCGACGCACTGCTTAAATAACATTCTCGTAGAAAATTGTGCATCTTAAAAGAGGATCAGGTGTGCCTTAGTACTTCTCAGCTTGTCAAGAACTTTTCTTATCCAATCTAAACCGCAATCAGATGCTTTTCATATTTGTTTCTTTTACGTCCAAACGCAGCAGTACAGCGTGCGTGGTTGTGAGAGTACCTCTCCTCGCGTGACCTACGCCATCCTAGCGGCCCAGGCGGCATGGAGCGCGGTGCGGTCGGCCACGGCGGTGGCATGGAGCGCGGCACGGTCGGCCACGGTGGTGGCATGGAGCGCGGCACGGTCGGCCACGGCGGTGGCATGGAGCGCGGCACGGTCGGCCACGGCGGTGGCATGGAGCGCGGCACGGTCGCCACGGCGGTGGCATGGAGCGCGGCACGGTCGCCACGGCGGTGGCATGGAGCGCGGCACGGTCCGCCACGGCGGTGGCATGGAGCGCGGCACGGTCCGCCACGGCGGTGGCATGGAGCGCGCACGGTCCGCCACGGCGGTGGCATGGAGCGCGGCACGGTCCGCCACGGCGGTGGGATTCCGCGTGGGTTTGTGTCCCGGAGAAAATGTCTGATGATTAGTGTAAGATCTTCCGTCAGCCAGTACTCGGGAGGTGGTGAGGCTGGCGTGGCGCGGAATGTCCTGACGCTGCGTGCTGTATCTGTAGACTTCGGTTCTACTTGGCTAAAGGGCCGAACCATGAGCCTGACACCTAGTTGAAAGTACTCTAAAGGGTGCAGTGAGGAGGGGGGGGGGGGGGGTAGTAAGGATCGTCGTAACCGTCTTTATTGCGCAAAACAAGCGTCTAATCTTTAAGTCGTCCCAGTAAAGCACCCAAACGTCTTCCTGAAGCCTTATTTCCTTTCTCTCCCGGACCGCGGGCCGGACTCGATTTGTTTCCAGTTGTTAATGTATAGTGGCTGCTTTGAACAGCTGGGGCCAACTTCACTTCGTGCAACTGGAGTTTGCGGCGCGTGGTTGAGTTTATGTGATTGGCCTTTTCGGCTCGGAGCGGTGCTTGAGCACCTCCGGCTTGAGCGGAGCGCCTCGTGGAACTTGGTCACGTCCAAGGACGGATCTGCAAGGAGCGGTGGGAGCAACATGAAGTATCGCCCACGCAAAGACTGCACA